AGGGTGACAGGACGAACAATCGGTTATGACCTGCAATGTATTTCACGTAATTCATGGGACGCTGGACCTGGTTCCCGGAAGGTGAAGCTCCCCACCCATAGGGCCTCGTGGGATGCTGGACTCGGATCCCGGAAGGTGAAGCTCCCCACCCATAGGGCCTCGCTCCACTATTCAACACTCTACATGCATCTGGAGGATTTCCAGACCAGGTGCATTCTGACAAGTCCAACAGTTTGAACAGAAAAGCGTCCAAATGCATGTAGAGTGTTGTGTAGAGGAGTGATGCCTGTAGACAGGAGACATCTACCGGGGGTTATCACAGGAGGCTGCTCGTATGGCATAGCAGTTCCTTAGTACGGGATGTCGGGGGTGTAGGAGATACTGCACCTTACCGCGGGGCCGGAACGGGCTCCAGGGATATACGAGGGAACGGAGGATCCCCAGCTCTCTACTCTCACTATCAACGATTCTCCAGGGGTCGATACACAGTCCATGATGCAGTCCATGATTCACGACTTAGGGTTTGCTATCCTCCTAGTACGTAGCTTAGGCTTGAGGCTGGCATAGCAGTTCCTTAGTACGGGATGTCGGGGGTGTCAGGAGATACTGCACCTTACCGCGGGGCCGGAAGGGGCTCCAGGGATATACGAGGGAACGGAGGATCCCCGGCTCTCTGCCATCAAACACAATAGTAGTAATACAACGTAACACTGTGCACCCTCGTGAAGACCTGTAGTAGCATGTTCATACCTAGCTCCAGAAGTCCCCGTGCAATCGGGCTTGCACGGCGTCTGCTTCAACCAGGGCTGAGCAGGGGGGTAGATCTCTCTGCCTAGCCTGGGTGCCTGCAACGGTTGTCTGGTCAGGTCACCCTGCCAATATGGCAATGGGTGATGGCCCCGGGTGGTTAACACTAGGGTAGGACATGGGGGTTGGGGGTGCGCCAGGGCAAAAAAGATAAGAGGAAGGGTGGGTGGGGTCTTCAGGGGGGTTCAGCTGGACTACCAAGTGGCCGAGTACTGTGGGTAACTGTTATTGGTCTAGTATCCCACCTTCTTTTTTT